CCCCTTGCCCAACAGGTAGGGGTATGTATGTACGTGTGTATGTGTGTGTGTGTATATATATATGCATCTATATATGTATGCGTGTGTGTGTGTGTGTGTGTCCCTTCTGTGGCCCTCACACACACCTGCACACAGCTGACAGTCAAGGCTGACTGCAGCTCAGCTTCCTGCACCCGTCAACTCCCAGAGCCTCTACTCTAGCTTTGCTGTTTGTTTTTCTACTCACACGTCTTTCCTCTTTCCATATTCATGAGCTTTTTTTCCTCACTATTGGAAAAAAAGACAGGAGCTATGATTCATGACAGTGTAAAATCATATTTGGAAGTAAATTCATGAAATGTTGAAAAGATATTACTGTTTGTAATACTATCAGAGAGAGGTCTGTCTATGGGCCATGTAACTGTAGAGGTAATGCTTGCATTATCAGTATCTCCATTGGTTCAGCCCTACCTCAATCCTCTCGCCTGGAGTAAAGATGCAGTAACCCGTAGGCTGCAGCCATCTGCCAGCATTAGAGAAAACAACGCACAGCAAGGAGGGACTGAGGAAAGCAGAAATGGCAGGAGACTGGGTGGTCGATGGCAGGGAACTCATGTGCTGTTGACTGCCCGGCTCCTTCCTAGTTTGGGTCAGGGTAGTAGGACTTTCCCTTACTTGCAGCTGAACACAATGTTGCCAAAAGGCCTCTTACAATGTGTAATATCTACAGCCAGGAAACTTGGTAAGAATCTAACTGAAATTGTTGGATGGACAGATCTAATTTAATAAGTACATATATGCCAGAAAGAGAGAGAGAGAGAGAGAGAGAGAGAGAGAGAGAGATAGATAGATAGAGATGGAGTCTCGCTCTGTTGCCCAGGCTGGAGTGCAGTTGTGCAATCTCAGCTAACTGTAACCTCTGCCTCCCAAGCTCGAGCGATTCTTGTGCCTCAGCCTCCCCAGTAGCTGGGATTACAGGTAACTGCCACCATGCCTGGCTAATTTTTGTATTTGTAGTAGAGACAGGATTTCACCATGTTGGCCAGGCTGGTTTCAAACTCCTGACCTCAGGTGATTTGCCCATCTCAGCCTCCCAAAGTGCTGGGATTACAAGTGTGAGCCACTGCACCCGGCCACCAAATACTTTTTTATGTACATTACAAATATTAATCATTTAATCCTCCTAACAGCCCTACCAGGTAGACAACATTATTGTCCCTGCCACTAAATTAGTAGCAGAATGTAAAGAATGGAAAAAGCAATAATTAAAAAAAAAGTAAAAGGAAGGTGGAAAAAATAATTCGTGTTACTGTTCATTAGACCCTGTCTTCTCTATCCTTTGGGTCTAATGACTTCCAATTTGCTATTTATCACAGGTTTTGACAAGCAGTTCCCTGTCCTAGAGAACCTAGTGTTTTACCCTTTTTCTTTCCTCTAATTTGAACTCCTTGGTCACCAAAGTAACCAGCGGTGTACATATTTCTACAGCCTATGCATGTGGAGACATATATACATATTATACAGGGTTTTTGCCCCTTCTTTCCTTTTTTCACTTCTTCCTTTCTACTTTCCTTTATCTTCATTTTTTTTTTACAAAAATATATCCTATCACACATTCTAAAAATATATTCTAAATATATTTCAGGATATACATCTAAATAATTATTTGCAATACCTATAATATAGCTGAAAATATTGTTGTAATATAATTTAACTATTCACCTATGATTCATCACTTCGTTTCTAATATTGTTTTTTAAGGCAATCCTAGGCATTTTTCTGCATCTAGCAATGGTAAACTAGGTGTTTCAGGCCAGATGTCAACCAGAACAACCAAGGCACTGGAGACCTGCCAAGGCAGTAAAGACTAGAGGGGGTCTAGATCCCAGGAAGACAATTAACCCTACTTTTGATCCCTTTTCTACTCAAGAATTCTTCAGTTTGAATCTGCAGCTAGGGCACTAACAAGATGAGGAGAATGTGTGTTCAGCAATGTCAGAGTTATTACAGAGAGAAAAAAAAACTGATGCATACGTATGCACTTAGCAAACAGCAAAGCACAATTGAAGTAAGTTATACACATATACATGTGCACCTTATCATTGTTACTGCCTCTAAAAACTAAGCAACACCACTTCCTCTGGGGAAAAAACAGTTTATTAAAAGCATAAATGTTAACTGCAGTAGAAAAAATCTTTAGCAAAATATATTTTAGATACTTTAAAAACAGGAGCTACGAAGTATCACGGACATAGTTCAAGTCTGATGCTAGGGAGCTGAGTTCTAACCTTCGCAGTAACAGTAATTAATTCTAGGATTTCGAGTCAGTCATTTCAATGTTCTTTGCCTCAATTTCTTTTCCTCTAAAGTAAGAATGTTAGATTAAATATTCTCTAAGGGTCCTTCTTTCCCTTGACTTTCATTATGTTATCTCTGAGCACAGGCCTTCCCTTTTCAGTAGAAATGCCCGCAATCAACAGATTGACTGGAAAAAGACAACAGCAAATAATAATTTGCATCTGATGAAACTGTGCCTATAACTGACCAAACTGAAGACTCTAAAAACACTGGACTCTACTTCGCTGACCTTAAAGGATGCGTGGCTCTTTTCATGCCTTCTCTCTCTCTCTGGTTTTGAGTTAAACATTTTGCTGCACAGTTGATTCAGCCAGTGTTAACACTCTGCTCTCAGGCTGCCCTGCACCTATCCCTTTACAGATACCACTGGGTCCAGCAGAAGAGATGAGCATTTTTTAAATGTCTTCTGTAGCTTCCCAGTGATTCTGGACACTTTGCCCTAAACATTTATCCATTTTTGCAATCTATGCCACCATCTTGTTCCTGATACAGGAGTTAAGGAGAAATTATTCAGGCAGATAGTGACGGTACAGGAGTCCTTGGTAAGGTTTAGCTTTTAGTGAAAAGCAGTCCCCAAATCGTTTTCTTTTCTAACAAAGAGCAGCCTGCAAAATCGAGCTGCAGACATAGACAAGCAAGTTGGAAGCATCCACGGGTGAATGCCAGCAGTTGTGCCAATAGGGAAAGGCCACCTGGGACTAGGCATGTTCAAAATGGCGGCTTCATGTTCCCGTCTCCTTGCCAGCCACGTGTACAGTAAGAAGCAGGCGACATGGCACCTGCCAAGTGGAAAGCCCATTTGCCTAAGATTAGGGTGAGGTGGCCAGCCTTCCTGGCATGCTATGTAAATGTCACACCAGGCCCTATGCAAATCAGATACCACCTCCTCAAGCCTGCCTATAAAATCTGGTGCACTCTGGTGCAGGCCAAATTTCTCATTCAGGCTCTCTCTCTGTCCCTCTCTCTCTCTACTCTCTCTCTCTCTCCCCCTACCTCTCCCTCTCTCTCTCTCTGAAAGAGCTGTTCTCCTTTCTCTTTCTTTTGCCTATTAAACCTCTGCTCCTAAACTCACTCCTTGTGTGTATATGTCCGTGTCCTTAATTTTCTTGGTGCAAGACAACGAATCTCAGGTATTTACCCCAGACAATGACTTTGCTTCAGTACCACTTACTTGGTCACTCTTTCTCCTAGTAGTTACAGGTTTTTCCTTAATATATTCTGCAATTAATGCCCAGTCACTACATTCATGTTATGATACTCTTAACAGCCTCATCTCATAATTATTTTTGTTTTTATTATAACAATCTCCATTTCTATCTTACTTCTGCTACCCAATGATCTAGCAGTGCCCAAGTACTCATTGTGACTCAAATTTTTGTCCTCCACTATCTAAACTCTACAAATTTTTGTCCTCCACTATCTAAACTCTACAAATTTTTCTCTGTGACTTAAAATTACTCTCTCTAATCATGGCTGTTTCCCTGTCTCTATTCATTCAATTCCAACAAACCTGTCCCTGAGTGGGTCTTTATCATGCAAAAGTCGCAGAACTATTTGGTATGGACAGTGGTATTTTTTGAGTGAATTTTAACATTCATCCATCCATTCATTCAACAAACAATACTAAACACCTATAGGTGCCAGATGGTATGGTAGATCCGGAGAGAACAAAGATGAATGAAACCATGCCCCTATCTTCAAGAAGTTCATTACTAACGAAGGAAACTGAGAGGAAAAATAAGTAGCATAAGAGGGCATTAGTGATAGAGAAGGGCAAATAATGAAATACTGTGCAAACAGATGGAAAAGCAGTAGATTCATCCGGGTGCCACTGAGGCCATCTATGGCACTAGAGAGTTCAAACAATTATGTTTGAACTAGAGAGCTCTAACAAGTTCAAATCACTGATTTAATACTGATAAGTCCGAAATCACTGATAAATCATCACAGTCATTGATAAGTCCACAATACTGAAATAAAACTAGCATCTTGTAGAGACGTGTGTATCGAGTTGACTGCCTATAAATATTTTACTATTATATAGACCATTTGTGAGTATTTACTAAATTTCCTTTAAATAAAATATTATGCTCTAGGATTTGGAAAACAAATTTTCTCCCCAATCTATCCAAATAATCTTTCGAATACAAGGAAAACAACAAGAACTCCAAACTGACCTTTTTATTTATAGAATAGACTATCAGTAATCAATTTGAAAAAGAATGCGAATTATGGCTCTTTAGTGTTTTTCAGGACTTTATAAATAGGCTTTTTAAAATATAAATGGACATGATATTGTTAGATGACTATTCAGAAATGACTAATGAAAATACTAATGATTTTTTGATAAATAAAAATACTTAACATAATTTAAAAGGAAAACACTTAATATTACACCAAACATCAGAGTTTTTGTTTTTGTTTTTTAGAGATGGGGTCTCCGTATGCTGTCCATGTTGGAGTGCAGCGACCACAGTGCACTACAGCCTCAAACTCCTGGCCTCAAGTGATCCTCCTACCTCAGCCTCCTGAGTATCTGAGACTCGGTACACACCACTACATCCCACTCAAAGTTTTTTTTTTTTTTTTTTTGTCTTAAAGGACATGAAGAAAAGAAAAATAGGAGTGATCTATCACAACAAGGAGAAAACTAGAAAACATACCCGAAGAAGCTTCCAGTCTTTCCAATCTGCTGATCAACCAGTCAAGGGAGCCGGAAAACTGTGCACAGTTTTTACGATTTCCTCTAATTAGAGCCGCTGCAAAAGAAGAAATAGATTTCACCTTTATGTCATTTTCTAGCTCGAAAATTGAGATAAGCTAATAGCAGCCCTAAAATATTGGATCAAGAACAAAGTATCTTCACGTTACATCTAAAACTTATGCAAACATATATACACATACATATACAACACGGAGACATTAAAGACAAATTAATCATTATTAATTGAGACTGAAGAAAACCACTGCTCATTAGAAGGAATGTGATTTTGGAAAGTAAATTTCACATGGGGAGGTAATAATGAAGGGTAATGGAAAAACCAGTCTCCTGGGAGTCCCCTCACTTGGGTTCTAATACCCATTGCTTTTAATTAGCCATGAGATTAAATTATTCTGTCTCTCTGAAGCCCGATTTGCTTACCTATATAATAAAAAGAGCAAATCAGTTTTTCTGAAAATGAACCACAAAATACTAGGAGATATAACTAGTAGTTATAACTCTAACAGGTATACAGAGAGATATAACTAAATGTTACGTTAAATAATGGATGAGAAGACCAATAGCCACTAACTTTGAAACCCTTTTATTTTCTTATATCATTTCCTTGGATTTAGAGATTCACAATGCATATTAAAGACCTGAAATTCTGCAGTAAAGACACCGATTCTAGCTTGGCTCAGACTACTGTTTTCTACCCTTCTTTGATTGAAGAACCCATTTTAAATAAAATTCCTATGTGATGTTTCTGATCTCTTTCAGCCTAGTTTATGCACTCAATTTTAAACTTTTAATTTTTCAAAATCATTAAATTCAAAGCAAGCCTGGTAAATATTTTCTACTCTTATACCTCTATGTTTATTCAGAAACAGTACAATTGCTTACAAAGGGATGGCAAGACTTTTAGACAATACGATATTTAAAGAGAGAAACATGTCTCTATAAGAATAATTGCTATTGAAACTCTGGTAGGCCAGGCGCGGTGGCTCACACCTGTAATCCGAGCACTTTGGGAGGCTGAGGCAGGCGGATCTTGAGGTCAGGAACTTGAGACCAGCCTGACCAACATAGTGAAACCCCATCTCTACTAAAAATACAAAAAATTAGCCAGGCATGGTGGTGGGCACCTGTAATCCCAGCTACTCAGGAGGCTGAGGCAGGAGAATCGCTTGAACCCAGGAAGTGGATGTTGCAGTGAGCCAAGATCACGCCATTGCACTCCAGCCTGGGTGACAGTGCGAGACTCTGTCTCAAAAAAAAAAAAAAAAAAAGAGAGAGAGAGAAAATCTGGTAGCTGATGCAAGCAGTTTGAAGAAGTGAAGTTTGAGGCTACTGCCTGTTAACCTTCTTGTTAAGAGTAGGAGGGAAGAGCCGGGCGCGGTGACTCACACCTGTAATCCCAGCACTTTGGGAGGCCGAGACGGGCGGATCACGAGGTCAGGAGATCGAGACCATCCTGGCTAACATGGTGAAACCCCGTCTCTACTAAAAATACAAAAAATGAGCGGGGCGAGGTCGCGAGCGCCTGTGGTCCCAGCTACTCGGGAGGCTGAGGCAGGAGAATGGCGTAAACCCGGGAGGCGGAGCTTGCAGTGAGCTGAGATCCGGCCACTGCGCTCCAGCCTGGGCGACAGAGCGAGACTCCGTCTCAAAAAAAAAAAAAAAAAGTAGGAGGGAAGAGACTCCACAGTTACAGTGTACAATTAAAGATGTCCTTCACGTTCCCTCTTTCCAAAAATAAAGAAATAAAGTTATTATCTGACTGAGAGTAAGAAAAGAAACACACAGAAAAGACGCCAACTCATGAGAAGAGCTTTTTTGTGTATAGAGCCTCCGTGACATTTGTACAGAGATTCAGAGCTAATACACTAATTACTCAGGCTCTGCTCTGGCTCTGGGTCCGGCAGCCTCCCCTAAGAGCCAGCCAGTGAGCTATACTCACAGACTGCAGAGTACAGCGGACAAAAGATAGGGGTGGAAGATAGCAGAGGAACGAGAAGTACTGTGTGTTAAGCAGAACTTCTAATTCTATTCTGTAAGAATATCTGTTCCCAATTTAGAACAATAGCAATTGGGAAAAAGGACATGATAAAGTTTTTGAATTTTAAGAGTCCCTTTTGTTTAAAACATAACTCGTGCTTTTCATTTTATTTCTGATTTTGTAAAACTAATTATATATAATATATATGTAACTATATATAGCTATATAAAATTATATATAAGCTATCTATTGTATTATCTAAAATTATATAGGTATATATAAAACATATATTATCTATCTAAAATGATATATATATAACATAAGTGCTTCTTGAAAGAAGCTAATAGTATAAGAATGAACTCTTTTAATAAGCCATGGGGCATTTAAGAAAATTATAGAGTGAGCCACAAAGAAAATTTCATTAAATTTACTGCAAACAGACATGGTATAAACCAAGTTCTCTGACAGAACTATGTCAGAATTTAGTAAGAAAAGCAGGAACGAAAATAAAACCGAAGTATATAAAAATTTAAACTGTCTCCTTAATAACTCTTGGGTCAATGATGGAATCAATACCATAATATAAAATATCTAATAAATATCAAACACAACCAACAACTAATCGTAAATATCTAATAAATGGTAAAACATCTAATAAATACCTAACACAACCAATGGTAAATGGCCAAAAGTGTACTCAAGGCAAAATTAAACACTTTAATTGCTAAGCAGTTGGGTGAAAAATGGTAAGTAAATCTTTTGAAATAGAGAAAAAGAAAATCAAATAAACAGTAAAATAGAAAAAATATATGAATAGCAATAAAAGTAGAAATTAATACATTAGAAACAGAAATAATTTATATAATAGTAAGATTGATCAAGAATACATTCAAGGACTATTTTTAAAATATAAGCTGACTACCAACTACTACTTTAATCAAAAAGAAAAGGAAAAAAGGACAAAATTAAGAAAAGGGCATTACACCAGACGTGGTGGCTCATGCCTGTAATCCCAGCACTTTGGGAGCCAAGGTGGGAGGATCACTTGAGCCCAGGAGTTTATGACCAGCCTGGGCAACATAGCATGACCCAGTCTGCACAAAAAGTTTAAAAAAATTTTTCCAGGCATGGTGGTACATGCCTGTGGTCCCAGCTACTTGGGAGGCTGAGGAGGGAAGACTGCCTGAGCCTGGAAGGTCAAGGCTGCCATGAGCCATGATATCACCACTGCACTCCACCCTGGGTGACGGAGTGAGACCCTATCTCAAAAAAAAAAAAAAAAAAAAAGGAATTATAAGCACAACCATATATAGATACATAGATATACAGGTAGGTATTTTTTTCACTAAAACTGACCCAATAGAAGGGAGAATACCTAAACAGAATAATAAATCATGAGTAATATTGAAAAGTATATCAAAGACCAAAAGCTTTTTCGTACATATTCAATAAATAAGTAATTTCTATACTACTTCATATGCTGCATAACAATGATTTGGTCAACAATGAAACAGATAAAATGATCGTGCCTTAACACCATAAGATTATCTATATTTTTACTGTACCTTTTCTATGCTTAGATACAAACACTACTGTGCTACAACTGCTTATTCAGTATGGTAATATGCTGTACATATTGCTGTACCTATGCACAGCCATAGGTTATGTAGCCCAGGAGCAGTAGGCCATCCCATAGAGCATAGCCATGTAGTAGGCCATCCCATTTAGCGTAGCTCTGCAGTAGGCTGTAACACGGAGGTTTGTGTAAGTTTCATGATGTTTGCAAGATGTTTTCCTTAGAACTATTCCAATGAGTGACACAGGACCGTATTCCAAAGCCAAAAAACTAAGGAGACTTTTCTGATGATTTCATGAAGACAGTATCAGTGACAATTGATACCAAAACAGACATTACAAAACAAGAACTCTTACTTATAAATATAAATCCTAAAATATTATATAAATTTATATATTAATAAAATTAAATCAAATTTAGCAGTATAAATTTAGTATTTATAATTCAAATTTAGCAATACATTAGCAACATTTCATCCAAGTGGAGATTCATTCCTCCAAAGACACAAAAATATACCAGGAAATCTGTTAATGAGTGAAAGATAAAACCATCTCAATATACTATGAAAATGTATACATTTCTAATGAAAAAAAATTAACTCAGTAAAATAGTGTCTCCTGAACATCACGCATGCATGCATGTGTGTGTGTGCGTGTGTGTGCGTGTGTGTATGTAGGTGCATGTCATGGGTACCAATATATTTTACAGATAAATGGAGTCTGTGAATTATTATAATTCATCCAGTTAAGAAGAAATAAGTTACGTGAGTTTCTAAGTAATGGAAAAGTACGCAGAGAAATACAAGGAAGCTCATCACAACACTCTTCATAATAGCAAAATACTGGAATAGCCTAAGTGTGCCAAAATAAATAAATGGTGACATTCCTTCAGCACAGAAGTGTACATCTGCTAAAGCTTGACGAAGGTTTATAGTTACTGCCAAGGATAGAGGCTCACAATATAGAATTACTTGAAAACATCTGCTATAAAAGAACATTAATAGCATGATTCCATTTTTGTAAAGTAAATGTATCCACTGAATATAAGTACATGTATAGCATGGAGAAAACTGTTTTTCAGAACATTTCTTAGAGAATGAGAGCTGATATTTTGGGGAAAAATATCTTGATAAGGGACTGACATAGAAACAGAGATCTTGAGGAAGATTGAGGTTAGTGCGACTGCTTCCCCAGGTCAAAAAGGTACCTTTTCTTATTCCAAAATAAGGTGGAAGAAGAATGGACCCAAGAGAGGAAAAAATAGGGCCATGCCCTGTAATATGATCTTTCACAGTGACCCTTTGAACCTGCAATAAATTCTGTCAAAAAAATCACAAATGCTCACTCAATAAGAATGGAAGCTAGGATGTGAAGAGGTGATGTTCTGTGGCTACAATTTCACTCTTGGAGAAAAATAGACAACAATAAAAAAGCATGGAAGTCTGAAAAATTGTAACCAAATAAACCCCTGAAACATACCAACA